TCCTCTGCAAGCATGAGAGTGTTTTAAAATAATAAACATATTCCTTCTCTGTTGTAATCAGATAAAGCTATTTCCTTTTAAGTAGTATTTCTAGTTTATACAAACTCACTTAAATCCTGTAGAACAGATGCAAGTATAACAGAAACTGAGATTGGGAGACACTTCAAGGTGATAATCTGCAGATAAAGTCTTGAGTTAAATGGGAGAATATCAGAACGTACAGAGTAAATTTAATTCTCCTACCTTGATTGAACAAAATCAGGATGCAGACACTTCTATTATTCTTTTGTGTTTTCTTCCCAGGAGGTGAGTGTAGCTTCTGTCACTATAGAGTTCTACCTGAAAGGTAAAAACATTGTTCCCTAAGGAAAAAGCAAAAGCAGGCGCATCATAAACCTGCCTGCACTGTTGCAAATACACGTGCACAGCAGATATAAACTACAACAAATGAAACACTCCATCTTTGTAATAAATTGAAATACATTGTGCACATAAGGATGAAAGACAAAGCCTACAATATTCCACTAAGGTGTGAAAACACAGTATCACTTGGGAGAAACAAATTTTGAAGCGAGGTCTTTTCCACCTCCACTCCTTACCCCAATTTCTTTGTTTACCCAGGTTTCACCCTATATCTGCGACAGATCATTCCCCTTTTGCATCTCGCCTCCTCCATGTCATTTCGCTCACTCCTAGGCCCGATGTCCTCACCCTGACTTCTGTTCCACATCTTCTCCCTATGTGGGGTCTCCATGGTGTTCTGCTCCTCCGGTCTCTGTTTAGGTCTGCGTCTCATTCTTCTTGCTTTGTAAGTCCATCCAAGCCTCCTTTGTAGCCCAGTTCCCAGAGGACGCACCCACTCCTTCTTCCCTCCCTTTGAACTGCATCTTCATCTTCCTCCCCTGCTGCTTGTATGGCTCTTGCTTTCACATCAGGCAAGGTCTTCTTTTAGCTCCTCGGTACTAGCACAGGGTGGAGGATAGTCACTGGACAGAGAAGTTCCCCTCAAGTTCCCTTACAAAGAACCTGCTCAGATGCCCACGGTAACCCGTGTAGTTCTTACTGACTGTATGCTAACTGTAGCTGCATTCAGTAGACTTAGACTTGTCCAATTTCTGGCTGATTCTTGAGGGAAAGGCAACTGGCACATAACTGATGTAAAAAACACCTCATGCCCAACCTTTGTTCCAAACCTAGAAAGAGGTTTACAAACACTGAAAAGCAGAGTGACCTGTATTATTAATGACAGCAATTTTAAATATTTTGATAATATGCATATAAGGTATTTCCAAGGTTATTCAAACACCTTTTGTGATGAAGAAATGGTCTATGTATGAACTGTCTACTATCATCGCTGCCATTAAAACAGTGTAACCTGAGGTATATTTGGCTTTAAATAATTAAAAAATACAGCCAATACCACTATATTAATTTAGCATCGAGACAGTTCATTGCGTTCACACAAAAAGTGATCTGTTCTGTACAGAATAAAATGCTTGCTTCGAGCCCAGAAATAACCCAGCCAGCAAACTTTGCTGCAAATGTTTACGTACACAGCTCCTGTGGAAACTGCTTCATTGTCTGCTATGCACAGAAAAAAGGAGAAACGAGGCGTCTGTCAACAGATCAAAAAGCACACCAGACCAGTGAACAAAGATCACCCCACAAGTCAAAATGAAGCAGCATAACTGACGTTATTTCCACTGACGTTTAATACAAATTTCAGATTCATTAGTTACAAATTTTTGTCATTTTCAAACAACAGAATCTGCTTATTAGCTGAGCCGCAAACAAAAAACCGAAACAGAAACACAGCAATTTTCAATTCAAGGAATACTTTTCCCTGGTGTCACCAGAGTTCTTGCTGTCTCCTTGTCTGCCCTGCGCTCTGGTTGTCCTCTTCAGGGTCAGTGGCTTTGCAGATGTGGCACAAGCACTTGCCTTGTTTCTGCTGCGGAAAACAAAACGAAACAAGCCAAAGAAACCCCAACCAAAACCCAAAACAACAACAAAAAACCACCCACCAAAAGGAACCCAAAACAAAACCAAACCAACAAAACCCCCACCATTTCTTATATGAGTTGTTATTGACTGGATACTTCAGGTTGCTCATTTTCTTTGCTTTATAGCTGTCTTACACTTCCTTAAAAACTAAGCAAGGTCTAAACCTGTAAATACCATTCTCATGTATGCCTGTACAGACATGTAACACAATACCAGTGGCGATGCACAAGAAGGACACACTATTGACAAAGCAAGCCAAAGCAAATGAAGCCAAAGCCCCATACTAACAAGACTGTCTTTCTCCAATTGCCATTTGTACACATTCACAAGTCTGCTCGCCAGCATAAGAAGTCATGCTGAACAAAAAACAATAAAATACTTACAATTAACAATTAAAAATATAAAAATATATGACATGTACTTCTTTAAATTTATATAATTAAGATATTTTGGATACACATCTGATTAAAGAAGTAACGTCGTATTTCAAAAGTGAAACTTCGAGCCTTTTTCTATGCTGGACACACTTTGTCTGCAATACTCTTAGTTTTTTCTTCCCTCCAGAAATTAATTAACAAGAAGCCATTTTAAACTGCATTTCCTACAGTTGTCTGCACCTCTTTTCTTTCTTTGATTTCAGCAGTTCTGCTTGCCTCTCTTTTGCCAACACTGCAATATTAGTTTTCCTAACTAATACAGACAATTTGATAGTATTTAAAAAACCATGTCCTTGATTCAGTTTTCTGAAAACTGAAATGTCATGAACCCAAAAGTCAGAGAGTCATACCAAGAATCAAAAGTTCTTTCTGGGAATGATGTCTTTGTCCATTTCTCCTTCTAGCAATCCTACAACTGTTCAGACCAGTTCCAGTTCACTTTACAGTGGATATTCCACACTTAAAAATAGTAGTTGATCTTAGGACTCCTACAACAGGCATCAACATTCTAAAAGAGACAGTCCATACTCACGCTGCAAGGTGTGGAAGAGGAACAGCCAATTTTGCTCAAGGCCGTAGAGGAATTCAGGATTTGGTTTCTTCCGACGTCACATTGTTGTTAAACTAAGACAGCAAATTAAAATCTTGCCAGAATCAGTGTGTGTGAGAGCCAAACATTTCATTAGCCTCTACATATGGAAAACTCTGTATCACACACACAAACACGACTGCGTGATGCTCAAGATCTTATCATCACCATCACCATCACATGCTTTGTACTAGGCCAGGAGCTCCGCATACTCCAAAGGCACTATTTTACCACAGGGAAGCAACGTAATTAAAATATAAGCAGATATTTCTTTACACTTCCCATGCAGATGCTGCAGTCTCTCAAGACCTCCATACTGAAGAAACACAGCTATGTTTCCACCTTTGATTTATACCACAAGAGTTTTATTGCAGGTTACAATAATGCCATTGCTAACCAAACCTTCCTAAGCCGCTTAATTCATAAACCAGTATCTTTAGTGAGAGTTTAGAATACACCAGAAATGCAAGATCAGATCCTACCTTCAGAGACCCCTTATTGCACCTCGTTCTTAAAGCAGATTGGGGTTTATGGAAATTAAGCAGGTCCTTTATCTTGTCAGAGGGGATGAGGATACTTAGCATCTAAATTTAGGTAATTTATTTCTTCTAGAAGACAGTTCTACTTAGCTTACCAGCTACAACTTGCAAAGAAATGGGTTGTCAGCTGTGACATGCTTATCCTTCAGACTAAACCAAAAGCAAGCAAAGAGATTGAGTGTGTCACTATATTAATGGCACTCAAATCTGCATGCATGTTATCGATTACATGCATCCGATATCCCTGTTGAAGTAAGATTGATTTTATTCGTTCACCTCTTTCTTGTTATCTCCTGCTTGTGGCCAAGTGATTGTAAAATTACGTTTAAATAGCACACAGCACATCTTTAAATCGCACATAGCACATCTCAACAGCCTCAGTATCATGGTCTGCACCTGAAAACAGTGTTCACGTCTTGGTTTTCTTCTTAAAAGTGATGGGCGCACTCGTGCGGCCCTGTCCTTTCACTGTCTCTCCACAGGGTCAATACAGAATCACTGTGTGTCTTATTCTAAGACTCAGGCCCAAAGAAGCCAACCTCTCTCTGTAAACAATAAAAACATCTCAGCTGCCATGTAGATTGCAATTTTAGTGTGATTATATTACCCCATAACAATATTAATAAACCGGACTACTCTTTTTGCTCCCCCCTCTGGTGCATCTGACACGTAATAACAATGCCGCTTGTCTTTTTCCAGGCAAATGTTAACTACTTGGTTTCAGCACCGTTTTGGCATTTTGGTAATTCTTTTCAACGTGATGTTCTGCTTACAACCTACGATGCTTTAAATACAATGTGTGTGTCACTAAGCTGTTACCCAACCTTGAGCTTGGCGTGTTTCTGATGAGCGTGTAGATGCAAAGTGGAGACTTCAGAGGAGTAAGTCGGTCACAGCGGAGGACGCCCATCGGTGACTAATCTGATAGGTATGCACAGCACATGCAGTTAGGATGAAATGATAACTTACATGCAAATGAGAAAGAGATTTTTGAATCATTATTTATGCACCAAGGAATTTCCCCCCAAAGAGGAAACACAGTTGCAAGACACGCAGTGGTTAAAAGAGACGTGACTCAGAAATTAACACAGCACAGTTTGCAGTGGTAACGAGAACAGATATTCTGGTTCTCTAAATCTCTGAAACAACGATCCTTCAGTCTAAAACTTTTTCTACATTGTGAATTTCAACAGGAACAAGGTACATGCTTATACTTATTGACTGTTCATATTCAAGGAAGTAAAATAATGCCTCGTCACACTTATGAATAAAGCATTTCCCTTTATTGCATATAAAGCAGAAGTCAGAAATCCCTTTTTGTTAGGTTCTCAGGTCAATATATTTCTCCTTTTCAGTAGCTAACACAAGATTTGTAGGAAAGATACATACTCAAATCTCCTTCAGTTTCTGGAGTTCACGGTGCAATTATCTTTACGTATGCCTTCCAGTGGCTTCTTCGGGATCACTCAGAGGTAGCAGCAATGGTTTTTGGAACTTGCTCTGTATCCAAACTCGCTGCATTTTCACTTTTTTCTTCCTGTTTACCTGCAGTCGCCGATCAACTAAATTCTGTACTTCGGTTAATCCAGCCAAGTTGAACATGTCGCACACCTCATCTGATTTCAGGCATAAAGCATTATTGTAATTAAAAAAAGACATTTATAGGATGCAGTAACTAACAACGTGCAGTTCAACCAAAGATAGAACTCTACCTGTTTTGTGATTTGAAAGATCAAGGAAACTGCCTGTAAGAAGTCTTTCGTTAGAAATGCATTTTCACAGCTCTCTATTTGTATTACAGTAAAAAATGTTATGTTGAGGCCCAAACCACACTGGTTATTACTCATGGCAGTCACAGATCCCCTTTCTTCGAAGAGTTCAGTGTGCCAGAGTTGAGGAAAACAAAAGCCCGCCATTTGGTCACTGTTTGCATATGATGAAGACAAAGCTCTTTCACCTGCCAAATGACAACCCACACATTTACGCAGATGTCATCACCTCATTCTTGTCAGTCACCACTGGAAAAGTTTCAGCTTTTTTGTCATGAGTAAGCACAAAACAAGACATTTAAAAACTGAGGAGGCTCTTTGAATTCAAGTGATTTTCCATACATGTCCCAGATCCTCCTCCTCACTTCTAAAATTACTCAGTCTGCGATCAGTCCTGATCCATCTCTATTACTTACAGTCTAGGTTGGAGAGGGCAAAAAGGAGAAAGAAAAAAAAAAGGAAAAAGAAAAAGAAAAGCACTGTTATGCTCACTTTCACAATTCCCAGTAGCTGGGCTAAAATACCAGTCTAAGCTCACTGCCAACAGAACCAAGTGAGTGGATGGGCAAAAAGCAACAGCATCCATGACCAGGAATTTAAGTTTAGCCCCCGCAGGAAGAGCAGCCTCAGAGTTCAGATGCACCAACACAGAAGAACAAAGTATCAGAGTGCTGCTACCAACTGTCCTTCCAACCATATTTATCTGTTTTAAGAAAGAAATCAAGTACATCTTCAATAACAGAATTAGAGCATACATTTAGACACAAGACACTTAGACAAAGAGAAATTCCAGTGATGTCTGCAAGTCCTCTTGCAGGACCCCAGATGCAAGAAGGGAATTATTTTCCTACAACAACTAAGATTTCTTAACTTTGGACTTGTAAAAACAGAGAATTAAAAAAAAAAAAGAAAAGCCAATAAAATTTCCTGTTCTAAGATGAGCTTTTATAACCCAAATCATCTTGAGAGACACAATTCCTTTCTATAAAACTATACCACTGCATACCTTTGGTAAAGAAATACACTCTGGTGCCATCTCCTCGTACATAAAAATTTTCTGACAAGCAACGACCTAAGAAATTAGAGCAGTAATGAGAAAGGACACGTCACTTTTTCTCAAAGAGAGTTAAAATGAACAGTGAGCTACAAGAGCGTTCAGGAATTACCTCTTTTAAAACGCAGCTGAGCTGTGTCGTATCTTCCATAGTCTCGAAATAACAACATTCCTCCAGGTTTCAGTAGTTTAGCCAACCTATTTACAACCCCTTGCATCCTTAGAAAATAGATGGGATACCGGTGAAATTTACAGACATAACTGGTTTTTTCTAGATGTTTTTTCTAGATATACAGAGATTTCTGAAACTACAGTGAGAAGATGTGTTTATATTTACTATAAAAAGGTCAGGCACTAGTGAACAGGATGAACTTTTTCCAAAAAAAGCCTCTCAATCAAAAATTTTAAAGGAATTGTAAGGGAAACTGGAAAGAGAAACTGGAAAGAGCTCTTTTTCTTCATTTCAACAGAATCTCAAGGATGGATTGAAGCACAGTTTTTGAGTATAGGAGTCATCTGGGTCAGGCAATGACCCATATTTGTCATATGATGAACAACGAATGAACGGTTTCTATGTGCACTGCTGAGCTAGACTGAGCCTTATCGCTGCACACAGCAAAATCAAGCACCTTGAAGGCAGACAAAAACTTACCCGATTTCTTTATGGAAATACTGATCATACACACAAAATCAGTGTCTCCACACCTAATGGTTGAGGATGGAAGGAAGAATCTGAGTGGTACCTCAGGAGAGGAATCTGGCAGAACTCTATCTGGAGATATTGCTACTTATAGGAGGGAAGTCTCCATCCTCCAAAGTGCTGACGAGTTTGTCAGTCTTGGTGGTATCTAACGTCAGCTCTTCCTTATCAAGATTACATCAGCTTGCTGTACATGCAATAGGAATCTTTCCCCTTCACTAGACCAGAGCACCTTCATTCTCACTTTTTAACCTTACCTTGAAGCTTCTTATAAATACATTTGCACTATTGTGCAAAATACATTGAAAATGAATAATAGTCTGGGTTTGCCTCACTGTTTCAGAACAAACTGAAGGAGTCAGGTTTTCCACATCAAAGACCAGAAAAGGCAGTCTGCACCTGTTAGGCTACAAGGTAGAAAAGTCCACTTGCCTAATTCAACCCTTCTTCCCCCAGGGAAGTGGATAAACCATGTAGAACATGTAGAGCCAGAGCGAATGCTAAATGAACAGAAATGAAAGGCAGGGTGCTGTATGTGAAAAGGGCTAAGGAAGAACAAGCCCTCCTCAGCTACACAAAATCTGCATACTATTACTGTGTACCTAGTGAACACCCTTACACCATCCCTGTCTCTCAGGTGGTCTTATCCCCTTGCCCCAAGAATGTCAGAACTCAAGCATAAGGATCACGTGGACCATAAGGACCATAACAGCATTAGTGCAACACCACTGCAGGCATCTTACCTTGATTTTTAAGGGAGAGAATTAGGAGGTAGTTCAGCAGAAAGTAATAAAATATCTACAAACAAAGAGCAACAACAAGCAGCACACGCTTTTTAAGCATAGAATTCCCTCAGAGGAAGCCAAGTGCTTTAAAAGTTGTCCTCTTTGCTCATGCTCAACACAGGCAACCAAGTATTTTGCCACAGACAGAAAAGGCAGCACCACCTAAGAACAAGAGACCTTGCATGACAGGCAGCTGTGCATGGAATTACAGACTTCACCTGTACAGACATAAGTTCTGTGTATGTAAAAACAAAAAGTACATGCACAAGAAGCGAAAGTGCTTTGTGAAATCTCATCCCGTACAACTAGAGCATATTAATGATACAGCTGCCTTTCAAATTCTGCAACCACTCTTTAAAAGGGACTTCTTGCAGAACTGAAGTGTGTTAAAAATGAGGTACAAGAGTAGCAATTACCAAAAACTAAACACAACAGCCTGAAATCAGTTAAGTAGTAATTGTGCTGAATACAAAAGTGTCCCTCTCATGTACATTTTCCAGGTCTCCAAAGTACTTAAGTTCTGCATCATCATTCTCTTGGTTTTCTTTTTCATTTCCCACTTCCCAAGTTTCCAGAAAAAAATGTATACTAAGCAAGACAAATCTGGATTACATTTGCCTTTATGCAGTCATTTTAATTCCAGGAGGTGACAGTAATGATGAACAAATCTTTGGAAAGTGGGTCTTACAACGCAATTACACAGAGATCTGTACCTGTGCATACACACACACACACACAAAAGCATCCATGTCAGACTCTGGATGCTGACATGGGGGGGGAGGAAAAAAAGAAAAACACATTGTTAAATGATTAATGGGAAAAGATACACAGAAATTCTGACAGAACGTCTGATTACTGCTTCTCCAAAAGCGATGGAGTGAATGCGTCTCTATTGTCCAATTTGTTCCTGGCAGCATCACTGCACTTACAGACATCTGAAATGTACTGCTTGAAGTGGTTTTGAAATCTGGACCCAGACTTTGCATGACTCATGTGCTCATCTCTGAACAAACAGGAAGGAGCAATATCCTATATGGGAAAGATCATTCTGTAAAGCTAATCATTAATAGCTTAGGCAGGGAAGCATGGAAACTGTTCTCAAACTTAGGCAAATACTGTCCTGTTTGCCAAGCCCATTTTAACAACATTCTTAAAGCAATAAATTTATTACCACACATACAGCACCTATTCCCCTTCATATGATCTGGCTTAAGGAAGAGTCAAGGAGTTTAACTTACATGCCCTCTTTTGCATTTTTCCCATTAAAAAAGGGCATTTTCACAATCAGCCAGCCTTAACAGTCATAAAATTTGGTTCATTAGACATTGAGAGGCATTAGTAACAAGGCTAACAGCACTCAACATAACACTATGCATGAAAATTAGATCAAGTTTTCTTAATCCAAACAAGCTACAAAATTCTGAAGGCATTTTGGTTCAAAAGGCCTGCACATATGCATTTGTCTGTGACTAGATAGACAACCTAAGTCTTTATCAACATATCTAAGGTGTTAAATCACCAATCTTTGGGTTTGATCATGAAAAATGATTTCCTTCTAGAAGACCAGTGGTTTGGTTTTTAATTTGTAATTTTCCTGAAGCACTGTCACTTTTAATAGGATCTATTTAGTTAAAATATACCCTTTGTATTTTGATGGGGACAGGAGGCTCACTAATTAATTAGCCTGACCAGCTTTTCTCTTGAAGCCTGAAAATGAGAAACAGCATTTAAAAGACACTGTTTTATATGTAACATAGCTTACTAAATAATAAATTAAGGATTCATCATTTTCTTTTGATAGTGTTGAAAACCTCCAGTGATAAAAGAGATTTAACCCATTTGCTTTGCCCTTTAGTCTTCATTTACCTGTCAGGATGAATAGTAGAGAGCACAAAGACAAGGAGAATGACATCCAGGATCTCATCTGGAAAAGGATAGGGTAAAGCATCATCACACACATCATGAACAAAGGCAGAACACCGGGCTGAATTGTAGGACGAATGAGACTGCCAGGAAAAAGATGAAAAGAGGCACAGAGAGAACAGTAGTAGTTAATACGTTTACTGTGACTCAAGAAACTTTTTTTCTTCAATTATTCAGCATTGTAAAACATCTCATATAAAAGCCTATTCTGTCTGGTATCTTACTCAAGCTGAGAAGCAAGCTCACTGATGGTATTCATTCGTCTCTGCATAGAGTAAGACTTTGTTCTTTGGAATATTGAAAACTTCAGTTAAAAGTTGTCAAAGCCATTACTTTCTTTTTCATGAGGACGGCTTCCTGGCAGCCTCCTGAATTACAGGCTTACAAGGTACTCTGAAGCGAGCATATGAATTACCTTTACCAGCTCCACTGCTCCTGAAGCAAAATCACAACAGTACAGAAAGGTTCCAGGTACATTGCTAGGAAAACAAAACGAAAACCAGTTAAAACATTATTATTGCAAAAGATGAAAGCCTACATCAGTGTTCATCAACTACAGAGGGCCCTTTGGGGTTCTCCACAGGTTTGATCAAGCATACCTTATTGATGTCTAGCACATGGAAAGCCACACAGGTTGTAATGAACCAACAGGGCAGAAAAATCCATAAGAATACCATCAGGCAGTTAGTATAAAAAGGAGAATTATAGTCTTGTCAGGGAGGAAGTGAAAAGGAAAAGAAAGAAGGTCACAGAGGGCTGTCAGGATTGATGACAATGTCCTAGTCTTGTATTACATAAATGCACATTAATAGGTCACATTTTCTTACAGAAGCAAGGCACCAAGTCTCCCTTAGCCCATCTATGCAGTTTAATTAGCAATACGATTTGGGTGGGGGTGGGGTGTTGCAAGTGTCATCCAAATTTCTGAAGAGGTTTGGGATCCCATATGCCACCTTGCTGTACTTTTGATTAGATTAAGAAGTATTGGCTGTTTCCCTCCACTATCCCTTTGCTTTGTAAGCCAAGATGAACGAGAATTTCCTGTAGCACTCTTTTCCCTTCCTTTCCCATCCAAGACTAAGCCAGCTGCAAATATCCTCATACCACTCATCAGACACTAGTAACTCTAGGGGTAATTCTGTTTCACCTCCAAAAAATTAATTTCAGAAAAACTGAGCAAGCTTCTCAAAACCTACAGAGCGACGTCCTCACGGTGACCTCATGATCAATTCATCCCTCTTAAAAAATATTTGAGATTTTGGACCGTTGGTGTCTTTAGAAAGGGAGTCAATGAACTCTGGCAGTGCCTGTAAGTTCCCACAGTATAGACACCTGAGTTAGTGACTTCTGTCTGAGGGCTCAGCAGGAGATCCCTTGTGGAGCAAAACAGATCCCATCTCTATTGCTGAGCAAAACTTTCATCAGCTCTGTGCCCCCCATGAGAGTTGGTGTCTTTAGATACTTACACCATGGATAAGGATGACTTGTCAGGATGTTATTTCTATTTTTTTTTAGAGCAGAGTAGGAGCTATGTAGAAAGTCAACTTCAAACAAAGACACAGCTCAATCTGGATGGTGACTGCGATAACTCAGATTTTCAGGGGGGCAGGGTAAGTGGATTAAAAGTTGCACTACAAACCTGAGTGGAAATTTTTTTTTGTAGCCAAGCTACACTCACACGTGACACCGCCTGCTTTTTATATGTAGACAAAAGGCAAATGTGTATTTTATTAAATTCAGAGTAAAACCAACCATGCTACAAAGTCAGGCCTGCTAAGAGATAAGAGATGTTTCCATCAGGACAAGCGTATGAGTTGTTCAATGTACTAACCTATGTGACTGACTGAAGGATTTGCATAAGAATAGAGATCTCCAGGAAAAATACCTCACGAGCGGGTTCTTAATTATCAGAAATGCCAACACATGACTAATGCCTCTGGTGAGGAAAACACAAAAGCTTGTCTCACCTTTTTTAATACAGCCACACGATATCTTTTCTCTATATAGTGTTACTTCCTAAACTTTCTGTGTGAAACAGAGATCCCCTTTCATTATATGCTGTCTAAAGCAAAGCATTTGTTTTGGGATGAAGATGCATCACTGACACTGAGAGGTTTTATGTGTGACCCTGGTGCATCACTTGATTCCTCCTGCTCTCTGTTTCCATATCTGAACCAGAGTACTTCAGTATAGTGGCGATGAGAGCCATCAGAATTCATTTAAAGAATAATGAGCTGTGCCGTACTCAGGCTCTTGGAGGCATGAATAAAAAGAAATCTATTTCAACCCCCAATACGTACACAGCTTTCCCAATAAAACCTTCCTACTGACATGGAAGGGAGGACATGCTGTCATAACAGCTTTTTCTAAAACTGGAAGCTAAGTAGATTAAGACATTTCAGGGAATGGAAATAATGCAATACAGGACTTGTACCTTCCTTGACACTAAAACTTGAAGCAATATGACAAAGTGTACCAGCCAAATTCAGAAATAATACAACTTCTTAGCCGTAGATCACATGCCATTATCTGTCTCAAATCTGTCTGTATGTATGTCTCCAATTTCGGTCTTTTGAAGAGATATCTGGTAGCTTTATGGTGACATATCAGACAAGAAAATATTTCACCTGCCTGAGAATAACTATAAGAAACCAGTCTGAATGCACCTGGTCATGGTTTAACCCCATCTGGCAACTACACACCACAAAGCCACGCACTCACCTCCCGCCCCCTGCAGTGGGTTAGGGGAGAGAATCGGAGGAAAAAGGTAAGAAAACCCATGGGTTGAGATAAGAAGAGTTTAATGACTGAAATAAAATAAAAATACTACTACTGATAATAATGAAAAGTAAAACAACAAAGACAAAACCCAGGAAAAACAAGAGATACAACTGCTCACCACCCACTGTCCGACACCCAGCCAGTCCCTGAGCAGTGACCACACCAGCCCCCAGCCAACTTCCCTTAGCTTATATACTGAGCATGACATCTTATGGAATAGCTCTTTGGTCAGTTTGGGTCCTGGCTGTGTCTTCTCCCACCGTCTTCTCTACACGGAGGCAGTATGAAAAGCTGAAAAATTCCTTGGCTTAATGTAAACATTGCTTGGCAAAAACTACAACATCAGTGTGCTATCACATTAGTCTCAGCACAAATCCAAATCATAGCTGCATACTAGCCACGAGGAAGAAAATTAACTCTATCCCAGCCAACACCAGCACACACCTGAAGACAAACCTCGTCAGCAAATATGGTCTCCCCAAGGTTAGGGCTGACCAGTATAAGGAGCATCTTGTACTGATGCTACCAACATTAGCAGTGATCTGCAAGCAATCAGAATTTCAGGGCTGTCAAACAGTTCACTCAACGCTTCCTGCAGCACTGCTACAGCACCAACATTTGAAGAAAATGAAGAAGATGAGAACAGAACTCTCATATTTGAAAATCCAGCACTACATACCATAGAACTTTCAAAATAGGAAAGACACTGTTTCCAGCACCACAACCAACCTGAAACCAGAACAGAAACAAAAAGTTAAAATAAATGAGTAAACAAAACTTCCTATTTTTTTATTTTTGTCTCAAATTAGTGGGTAGGGAGGACCCATTAGACCTGAAGGTATGTTGGACAGAAAAGGTATAAACAGCTCATACCACAATTCTCAAATCACCACTTTGACCATGTTTCTCCTCAATGTCTTTCTAAAGTTGAGAATCCATCTCTCAAACTGAATAGGAAAGTGCAATATTCTTTCACCATTTGGCAAGAATGTGTCAAGTACTTGCACTTTAAGACAGAGCACTAAGACAGAACTTTCCTTAGGAAATTAGAAACCCAACCTCCAGTGAAAATGGAATCTGAAAACGCAGCCTTAAGTCTGATTTGGGAGAAACTTTAAAGGGAAAACAAAGCACAGATCCTAGGTTTCTCTGACAGTTTCTGCCATAAATCAATGTAGCATGTCAAATGCTACATCTTTACTTTCTTGACACTTGCTAAACGCCTTTATCAGGCTTTTGAGAAATTAAGTAGAGTTGTGTATGATGGGCAGAACATTTGCAGTGCATTACCTCCAATATTCTGTAAGTGGCATCACTACCAGGGAAGGATTCCAGCCTGCCAAGTTCTTCTTCACAGTTTACACCCTGAGGACCGTCACTAAGAGGTTTCGATTGTTTTTTATTATATACATATCCTTGTACAGATGTAGAACCACCTCCAAAGTTTTCCTTCCAATCTTTTTCTCCTTCCTCAGACATTTCATTTTTGTGTGAAAAACTGTTGGTACTATTTATTTTTGTGGGTTCTGAAGATCTTTCTTCTGTTTTCAACTCTCTCCTTTTTTCTGGAAGAATTTCTGGGAACTCCAGAAACAGCCAATTGCGATCCTTGAAAAAGTTACATTTATGAGTCTCGTAAAATTTGTTCCAATATTTACTGGCTTCTCTCTCATATTTATCTGAAAGCAAATCAAAACAAAGACTCGATGAATATGAGCTTAGCTACAAAATACTGTAAATCAACATTGAATTTGGGCCCAAAATTCACAGTTTAAAAATGTGTAGTTTCCCACATTGTACATATTTAAATAAAAACATATGGATTTGGGGTCTTACCTTAATCTGTGCTCACAATAACTCCCATGAGGGTTTAATTAGATTTTATGTCACTTAGAATAGGGCAGACAGGCTTTCAGCATCTTTTTTAAATGTAGTGGCATAATAGCATCACCAAAATACACAATCTTATGTTTCTCAGACAAGCTTTCATGTCTATAATTATAAAAGCAATGCATCTTTTTAATTAAATGTTCTCCATGTATTTCCTATTTAGAAATACTAAATTGAAATTAATTTCATGATTTATGAAACTCTATGGACAATTGCAAATTTGCCAGTACCGGCTCATCTCTCAAAATACCCCACATCAATCAGAAATCCACGGGAGTGATAAACGCCACTGCATTGCCAATAGACAGTGATTCACTCTTAACCATTTAACAAGGTAGTCTTGACAGAAAATAACAATACAGTCAGATGCAACACGTTGGCTTTCTTAGTTTTAAAACACTTCAGAGTCTTACAATAGACCCTCGTGTTAACTTTTAATGCACAAACCATTCTAATGGAACGTTAGAACGTCACAGAATGGGACTGGAACATATTTTCACAGAATCACAGAATCGCTCGGTTGGAAAAGCCCTCTGAGATCATCACGTCCAACCGTTCCTGTCTACCCCCTAAACCATATCCTTAAGTACCTCGTCTACCCGCTCTTTAAACACATCCAGGGATGGTGACTCCACCACCTCCCTGGGCAGCCTGTGCCAGCTTCTGACGACCCTCTCAGTAAAGAACTTCCTCCTTATCTCTGACCTGAACCTCCCTTGGCACAGCTTGGTGCCATTTCCCCTTGTTCTATCCCCCATCACCTGGGAGAAGAGACCAGCACCCACCTCTCTCCAAGCTCCCTTGAGGCAGTTGGAGGTGGTGATGAGGGCTCCCCTCAGCCTTCTCTTCTCCAGGCTAAACAAGCCCAGTTCCCTCAGCCGCTCCTCATCAGGCTTGTTCTCCAGACCCAGTCTCCATTTTGCCCAGTCATCAGGGAATTCATACCCTTTCTCCACAGAAATGTGGCCAACCCTTTCTTAAAATGCCACCTTTCACCCAGTTTTGACAACTGTCTTCAGTTATATATTACAGTCCTTCACCATCTGTACAGGTAGAAACCTTTTCCACTACCTAATCTGAAATTTCCTCATTGCAATGTAAGTCCAGTAATTCTCGTCCCATTAACCAAACAAATAAAGCAAAGAACTTTGCAGCACCTATTTATTTATTGGAAGTCTTTTTCTATGTCTCCCACAAACAATCTCTTTTCTAGACTGTGCAAACCTAACTCTCTTCTTTTTTCCACAGAACTCATCATTTTTATACTTCTGATCATTTTTTTGCTTTGTTCTCCAGATTCTCTCCAATCGATTTACTACTTCTTGGTGCTGTATTCTGGTACAGGCATTATCAACACAGAGGAAAATGAAGATTTTTGGACTTACAGGCTGTAATCCTGTTTATAACTCCCAGCTTGCCATTTTGCAGCAGCATGACACTGCTGATTCAGCTGGTGATTCATCACAACCCTCAGAACTTCTGCAAAATGACTACCTAGCCAATTGTTCCAGAAGTAGTATTTTTTTTTCCAAGGAATTATTCCTAAGCAAAGTATTCTGCATTTATTTTTAGCAAACTTTTATCTTTCGGATCCTTTTTTTTCCACTGTTCATCTAGATCTTTTTAAATCCTAATCCTGTCCTTCGTCATACTTGAAACGTCTCTTCACTTAATATCATCTTCGAGTCTCCTGTTTCCTGAGGTCACCAATGAAAACACCAAGCAGAACTGGACACAGAACAAAACGCTTCTCTGCCCAGTACAGCCATCCTGAAAAGATCTCTCTAGGCATTCGTTCACCCAAAAGCAGTTGCATTAGCTCTCGCTTGCCTAACTTGCATATGAAAATGTCAAGTAAAGCAAGTCAGAAGCCTGACTAAGGATAAATTTCAGGACGTCTGCTGTTTTTTCCTTATCCCCAGGGCTTGTAACCTTCTCCAAGAAGGAAATGAGCTTGATTTTACATTATTTATTCTTGAAAAATATTTGTTGGCTAGTATTCGTCTCCTTTGCTCTTCCAAACCCAGTTTCTGCAAGCTCTGGATTATCTCCTTCAGTAATTTTCCAGGAATCGAAACTAAATCTCTGACTCTTCTCCCACCTCCGTTTTTTAAAAAGTAAATATTCTCTCTTCTGCTTTCCCAGTCATCCAGGTACTCTATGGACGTACTTTGCAACCTGTTCTTTCTCAGTACCAGAACAAGATCTTTCCTTCTCGCTAGCACTAACTGTGCTGCCCACTGGACTGCAGCTAACCCTTTCAAAGCAAGGCTGATCAAAAGATAAGAACTACAGCTTTTTCTTTTGTTGATGGTTTTCCCTTCCTCAACCCTCCTAAGTGTCAAACCAAATGCTTTTCTTGTTTTCTGCCCTCATTCCCAAAGCATTTACATGTTTCTCGTTACCCTTGATGTTTCTTACTAAGTGTACGTCATATAATGCGTTGCCTTTTGTATTTTGTCCCTGGTTAATTACGCTGATCCATTAATTCTCTTAATATAAATGCACAGAGTAAATAATACGGTGCATTTCTCCTACTACTCTCATTTAAATCTTAACACACTACTTCCTAAATCGCCACAGCTTTTCAGAGATAAACAAGGCTCAGAATTATCACTAGAGGCACAGACAGGCAGTGGGAAGTGTCAAGGAGGAGGCAGAACGCCTTGTCCTAGAAATCTGCATTTTTTTTTTTAAATTTACCATTCAATACATCCGATTGTATTATTACAGGGCAAGATCCAGCCATGCAGAGTCACTGTACAGATTTGTTTTACAGAGTAAGTGCGGAGTTGACTGAGGTCAACCACACTGCAACAGTGCAAGTTGCACATTCTCAGTATAAAAAATAAACCTTCTACTCAAAAGGTTCTGAAACCATTACCACCCCTTGTTATAATCACCACATTTCTACAAGTCTGCTCAGAACCCTTGTACTTTAATTCCCAGCAAGTTTTCCCAATTTCAGAAATGAAGGAAAGCAATGGCTTAAATCAGCCTTTCAAACTGTGTTCGTACAGTATTATAGGCTGAGGTGAAAGAACACTTTCCATTCTCTCACTGGTCCCTCCTGCACCATTTAATAGCCACACATGCACTACTATTACCAATTTTTTGTTTTATTTTGTATATTTAAGTAACTTGACTACTGCATTTTCCGAAGCATGTAAAACCATACAAAACTAATAAACACAGAACCTTTTGAGACACAAAAATCCCTTACCTAGTCAACTGATTTTTCTCCTTAACAGATTCTTTCACACACTAGCAGCCATGTCTGAGGAAAAAAATGGACATGCTAGTAAGGAAATAAAATTCCTAAAGGTGGTATAATGAGTTCACTCAGTTTAACTCATCTGGTTTTAATGAGACTCACCAGAACTCTTCTATTTTAGTGATATAATGGTACTGTTGAAATCTGCCTTGTCTTTTCCCCTTTACTGTAATTTCCAAGGGCCCAAAATAACCTGCTCATTAGCTTCAGCCTAGTTCATTGTTTACCCAAATAGGCCAAAATGTACTTGCACTTGCCGAATGAAGCTGAAGCTTTCTGAAGGAACACTATCAGCAATGCTCACCTATTCAAGTTCTAAACAGAGGGACATTCACATGAAGCATCCGTGGATTCTTGTATTTCTTGGCAACAGACAAATGCCTGATTATTCCATTTCTCACCAGCACAAACTCAGTTCTAATTGGTAGTAGATGGAGAATGGAAGGTTCAACGAGCCACACAGTTGCACAGCTTACTTTTCAATCACGGGCTCTTTTTCAACTTTTTATATAAACTAAATGAAAATATCAGATGCCATTTTTGAAAAACAAACACTGCACTCCTGTATTTCGATAAGGAATGTGAGAGGTAACGGAAAAGGGCAGGATGTCAATCCCAGAGGATTTAAAGAGACAAAGGGAACACAACCCAAGACACATTCACAGGTAATTCAAATAATCTCAAACACGTGCCTGATGACACTGAGCACAGGATCACAATGACACTATCTAATTTGACACATTCAAGACACACTAAGTAAAATGAGGCGCAGGACATTCAAATAATTGTTTTCAGAATATGCTTCTAACAAAGGAACAAATTGAGAATCCAGGCTTCTAAGCTAGTATCAAGTTGATACTCCAGCTTTAGCACATGTGACTATCCTAGAGTTTAGCCTAGGGTTAGTTTGCCAGTTTGAACCTAGAGCTATCATTCTGTAGAATGATATATCTGCAGAAGACATTGTTTCCCCTCTGAAGACACGCTTGAAATTCCTTAATCATTTCCAGAGCAGACTCTGCATGGTGCACTGTAACACCTTCCACACAAAGTGAACGCGCTGCTTCCCGATGCACTCCGAGCTCAGCATGGCCAACGCAGCAAGCTGGCACCAGTGCAGCTTTCATGGCACTTAACTGAAATAAGGTGCCATGTACAAACACTAACCTTCTAAACAGTTCACAAATCATTAAAAAGCATTTGAATATTGTCCATGGGAATTGTCATCCCCAGCAACCTAGCTAGCTGCAAATTCATGCCCTTGGATGAAGAAACAGTCCTGTGTGGTACAACTTCTATTCTGAAGAACTGCAAAAGGAGCCAGAACTTGCAACTGCCCCGTGCTGATGGACTTGTTTTACATAGAGCCTATTGCCCCCTACAAATGCAAAATTGCTCAAATATGGAACTGAATTACTAGAAAACCACACTTTGAGACAATTGTTTGAGGCAACAAAGGGGAAAAAAACCCCCAGCAAATTTAGACAAGAGAATGTATAAATAAAGAGAGTGTTGCTGGACTTTAAAGCACCTTTAAATGCTTTAATAAGTTGCATTAAAATATTAACTTTTAAGCCATTATGAAGTTGTTACCTTGCTCTTCCCACTGGACTTTCACAAGCGAGTTCTCTGCTGCTTTTTCCTTGGCATTCTCCTCCTCTTCTTGTGACCACTGCATGTGGTCCCTGCAAAAGGCAGTCGAAGAACCAGCCTTTAAATAGCATTTTCCATAATCTTTTTGTTTATCCCATCTCAAATATATTTTCTTTTTGAATGCAAGCAAATGACCACAAGGAGACTGACAGTTAAAAACTAAGTTTCAGTATACGACAGATAAAAATAATTACTAGTTAGGTAAAACTCGAGTGAAGTGATTAAGAAAAAATCTTCCAACTGCAAAGAGGCTGAAGTAGTATGCATTTTTTTCTTAATAATAGGATTAACGTATCTCTTGTAAATTGAGTGCATTTCTAGGAATGTATTTCGAGTGTCCCATCAGAATTGTGTTTAGCAGGCTATACTAATAGACCTATCAACAAACACACTGATGCAAGAATGCTCACACTGTGATGTTTATGTTGAGGAACAAAGGTCACTTAGCAAAGGAATCAGCTGTTCCTGAAACAGGGAGCATAGTCCACCTATTCAAGTGGGACAGGTGGCATCGATGAGCTGGATTTTACTGATCTGGGGAACAGAGACAGGAAACATCTAGAAAAAAAGAAGAATGAGGCATTCCTAAGAAAAGACAAGCAGTGCTGCAGTGGTTCCCAAGTCTATGCTATCTATATTTGTGTAAGGAGGTTCATTAAACGTGGTAACAGTAATCCATTAAATGGTCACAGAACCAAGCCAAGATCTGACCCTGATGACTAAACTGCCTTCCCTGCAGACTCTGTTTGGATCAGGCCACAGTGGGGAGTGTCCAAAAACACGCTGCTGCCAGCTTTTAGAAGTAAATCAGCTGTTCCTCCAAATCATCCAGTCTGAACCGTTTCAGAAATCAGATTAAATTAGATAATATAATTCAAGTAATATGTGAGATCCAAATCCTACTCAAATCAATCACCTGAAAGCCTATGATTCAAATACCATTGGTTACTAAGGGAAAAGGAACAAGGTGCCAAGTCGAAAGGAGCTGATTGTCTCTAAAAGCTAATGAGCATCTTCCTGTTCCATGCTTGGTGACATAAAGGTAATTTAATTCTTAGACCTTCACTATTTGTCTTTTGTTAATTGTGGGAGACTAATTGGTATGCATTTGTCTGCTTGCCTCAGACGTGATTTCCACATCTCTACTGAAGTATTTCTCATTATTGTCCCCAGCAGGTTGCCTCTCCCCTTCCTGTATTTGTTCGTATCCCAAATGTTCCTGTGCAGCGTCAAGGCTCTGACAGACGTGCTGTAGTAGAATAAAACTGAATGACTGGAGCACTACCAGGCAGCCCTCCTCTTGGAAAGACTTGCTTCCCTCACTGCTATCACTGTTTTTGACCTTGTCTATTTAGCAAGCTGAAACCAAGGACTACTCAGACAGCAATAATCTGTCAGAAGGGCTGACTGTATGACTTGATGTGGTATAAGCTTTAGCTGATGAGTTTTAGTCCATCATTGTCTGTCTGTCAGGGCTCTATACACAATACTACAGGTGCCTGAAGTCCTCCATCTTCATCAACAACTTTTTTTCCCTTTTGTCCCCCTGTGGAAATTCATAAAGCTGAAGAAAGATCCCTTTGCTCCTTTCTAGAAATTTCTATATGGAAGACTCCAAACAACAGGACTGCAGCAGCACTTCATGATCAAAATCTTCCAAAGAGGGGACATAGCATAGCTCTAATGCAAATTCTTTACACAGTTTGGATGCTTCAAGTGAGGCAGCTCCCTCAGCAATACAAGCTGGCAGGAACGCAGAAGAATTCTAAGCACAGAAGTGTTTTAAGGTGAACGCTGAAAGCAGCAAAGCAATCTATTTAAACCACACCAGGAAATGTGAACATGAGTAGGCCTCATGAGATCAAGCGACGCTACTTTCAGTTCTGCATATTCAACTTACCCCTTTCCCATTAACTTGTTTGCTAACATAGGTTTTGATTATTTCTTCTAACTAACATGCAAAACCCACACCAATTACTAACCTAAATAGAAGCATTTTTTGCTCCTATGTCTAGCATCATTCCTTACTTCTGTCTCAAAATGACAGAAAAGGATCACAGTAAATACCTAAAGAATTAGTTCCCAAATTTAATTTGCTTAGTATTCCTGTCAGCAATGGCAGCAGCTCTAGGCTTCCTGCCAATTCACACACAGGCAAAAAGAAGGATGCCACTTCATGAAGTACGAATGATGATGAGTGGAAAACAAAAGGACACAAATCCTCATACATCAGTGCTAGGGAAGATGTATCTCTTACGCTCACTCTGCACGATTGATTTAGTTCAACCACCTCTCATTCTCATCCCCCTTCTCTCTAGTGAGAACCCTGCTGATTCAGTCAGCTTCAGATCCAAGGACCTTGCCCCACTTCATAGCCAGGTTCTTGATTAATCAAGGCCTTTGCAACTGCCATGCAACCTCTGCTTCAACGCAGCTTCATCTGTTTTCCCTTGTGAGCGACATGGATCCATCTGCAGATCCACTTACTGAACAACCCTGTTCCTTTCAATCCATCCATAATTTGATAGCTATGTCTTAAACTGTCACCCAATGCTAGCAAGAAAAACTGAAGCTACACATAATCAGTTATTTGGAAAGAAAGAAAAAAGTGAAACAAAAGTGAGTGCCATCGAGGTACAATGTTACAGACAAAGGGGGGGCTTTCTCTTCAAATCTTTTCCTACCTAAACTATATAGCCTATATTTTAATCAACATTCACGGAAGTACAGAATTTTTCCACCTAGCAGGACGCCCTGAGTCCGGAAGATGTTTAAGAACTACAGCACATACACATTTATGAAACACAGAGAGAAACTTGACACCCTTTTAACGCAGTAACTAGCCAGCTTCCTTGGCCAAGGAATTTACAGAAGTATAGACAGCTTTAGATTTGGCCTTAAGGTGCTATGTGCTGGGGACCATGGCTTGGGGATATCTGCTTTACAAAACAGTAATAGGTGACAGATCTATCTGCATATCTTACCTCATGAGTAAAGCCCAAATTCAGAGACTACAAAGAGTAATTAAGATACTAGTTTATTAACCAGAAGACAATCTTCTGTGTCATATTCGTAAGACCTTTTTATTAACCAGAATCTTATTAGAGACACTTTTGTAATTCAGATTATAAAGTAAAATGGACCAATTAACAAATAAAATGGACTGCTAAAGGGAAGGTTAAGGAACTGGAGATTACTTTTAAGAAGTAAACTTAAGCCCTGAAACTTGCCATCTGTTACTCCTGTTATGCTACCCATTGGTTATCATTAGCCACATCCAGTTGCTTTCCGAATTTTGCTAAATCCTTGCTCTCATAAATGGTGTGTGGCAGAATTCAAAAATATATTTTAAAGTTATGTAGAAAATAATTTCTGATATAGGTCTAAATTCACCACTTCTATTTTCATCAAATACTCCTTGTTCTTAAGTTACAAATTATACGAATTCCTGGTCTTCCAAATATCTTAGGTAGATATTCTTCTGTTTTCTAGACAGATTCAGATATTCTTCTTTTCTTCTAATACTCCTGTATCGCTTACTGCTTTCTGTTCAAAACTCTATATATTCATAACTTTCAGGTTACTTGTGACAGCCTCAAGTTCTCTACAGCACTACCTTTCAACGCCTGTGCTGGCAGTCCATTGTTAGATATACACACACCCACAGTTCGTCATCATGGTAAACAGTATACAAAAATATATGAAAATCAGCCTCGAAGAAACATCTCACCACATGTTATGCTCAAAAACCTTCGAAGGATCAGTTAAAATCCGAGATCCAAGTGGAACAGCTGGTCGTCTACTACTTTGGTGCCTCTGTTGCATCTTGCTTTTCCTCAGACATAAAGCAGAAAGCCTTGTAATGAAATTCATTTTGTTCAGAGACCTGAAAACACAATGAACTCAAGTCACAGTTTTGCTGTAACGTGATTGCTAATGTCACTTACATGAGAAACTGGTCAAATAATCAAGCACCAGTATCAACTTCAGTAATAATCTTTTACTGTAATATCAATTTAAATGCTTTTTTAGAAAATAGCAGCATCCCTTCAGCGTGCTGAAAGCTCAGATAATCCCAAAGTAGGCTACTGGAATGAAACCAGTTGAAAGATAAATTATTTGGTATCATTTCAAAGTCCTAACTGGCAAAGGAGTAGGGGGAGAGAAATACACAGTAAAACCAAGTTTGGCGTTGAACCTTTAAGAAGAGAAGCAAAAAGTGATCAGTAAAGAAACCACTTGTTCTAGTGGGTACACACTGCCATTGAGACTGCCGTTCTTCACCGCGCTCAATAAGTAACCATCTTCAAAAGACTTCACTCTAGAACCTCGACTGGTTTTATTAATGGTTTTATGCTTTTAGATAGGGAATGAAAGATCTTTTTTTTTTCAAGTGTAAACATTATGCACCTGAAATTCTTCCAAAATTCCTGCCACCTATTCTCCTGATCCTGGTTTAACGCCCTCTTTGAAACGAATGGTTTTAAATGTTAAATTTCCATTCATGCAAAATATAAAGTGCTTGAGATGTTTCTATTACATGTATAATTCTCTTGTATTTTGCTGTGTTTTATATACTCTTCCTACAGTATTAATAATGAAAGATAACAAGTACGTGCAGCTAGTACCAGCATTCTGTCTTGTTGGGTTTTTGCAGGTTTCTTTGCATATTCTTGTTAATGTAGGCTTTCTAGGAGATGACTAAAATGAAAAACCCCTCCTACTACTTTTACCCTGATGTGCTTTTGTTCTTTTTTCCTTCAAGTGCTCAGCATACGACTTTAACAATTATTCTTAGTCCTACTTTTTTCCTGCTCTTTTTTTTTTTGAGTGCTTTTTCTGTACATACCACAGATACGAATTTGAGGCACTGGAAATACAAAATGTAGTTACAAAAGAACAGGCACAGTTTAAATACAGACATTATTAGAAAACGTTCTGTGCGCACTGAATACAAACCGCAGATTTTTATCTTGAGGAAAACAGCGCTATTTGATCACAAGTTTTGTACTCTGAAAAGAAAGATTAATTTGTACACATCAATACAAAGCCTGGCAAAGAAATCACTTCAATTAAATGAACAATTCCTCGTTTAAGGTGTACTTTTGAATAAGTCATGCTTCAAAAAGGGCATTGTTTATTCATTTTAAGCCTACCAAAAAAAAAAAAGAGGAAAAAAGACTACAATTTCTTATTATTTGTCAAAGATGACATAAAATAGGGTTTGCCATCTGGCTGTCAATGCCAAATGAAAACACTAATGAATTTTGGCTACTTCACTACAGTGAAGATGTAACATTTAGTCCTACTAAAAAATGTAAACCTCTTCTAATGTTAACAAGTTTATTACGGCTCTTTTTTTTTTTTAAATGTGGCTCAGCAACTAAACCAATTCCAGTTTATACTTTAATTACTACGAATTGTACATGCTTTTTTCCAAAAAAAAGCATGCATTTTTCATCACATAGTGCATAATTACTAACATACATGGAATATCATGAAATAATAATTATGAGACATGACAATTAACACACCACGGCAGTTTCTGCAAAATATGTAATCTACATAAAGGCAATGTTCTTGAAAACAAAACCAACCAGAAAATTACCCAAAACTCCAAACCACAATCTGACCTACAATTATTATTATTAAATTATAGAAATGCCTGGATAAAGATTCCATGATTACATTGCAAACTGTTCACAAATCCTCTTCCTCCTGCAATCATTCAAAAAGACCTGAGATAGTATCTGGCATTTCCTGTGCCAGCATTGATACTCAACATAAAATGCAGTGATTCAGCTGCTCGGCTAGTCACATAATTTTTCTTGGCTTTCTAAAAATCTCAGTAAGAACATGAAAAGATGCACAGATGGGAATTACAGTCAGATGACTAAGATGATCTTGCATCAATAAAATCCAGAGATGCAGCTCTTTTTATGAGAATGCGATTCTTTGAGTGATAATTGCGCAATTTTAGCTGACAAATCCTGAAACATGAAGAAAATGAAAGGAGCAGGGGAGGTGGAGGAGTTACATTTACTGTTGCATCGAGTATTAAATGCGAAGGAACTCCTTGGAGACGTGCATCTATATCCCTGAGAGTTAGAGGGATCTACAGATCGTGAGATTAATGGGTAATCTGGCTACAGAAAATTCAAGAAGCATCTACATGACTTGGAAGCCTAAATCACATTTTCAGCAGCAAGTCATTGCTCAATTGTTTCTCTAATTGATTTTGTTAATGAAACAGGCAAACACCCTTTCTCTTTGTCATGTAAGATGATCATACCCTGAAGCCGTGGCAGCAAGAAATGTAGTCTGAAAGAATTAGGAGTTATTTCCTTGTTCAGAGCCATGGTCAGGAAGGCTTTAAGTCTGATTATTAAAGCGATTCAACCCTCATCTTTAAGAACATTATAATGAAACTGAATTACAATAAAAACGCCTATATTCTGCGGCAGCATAATTCTTTTTCAGAAAAAAAAAAAATTAAAGAAACAATGCACTTGGCAGCCACGCTCAAAAGCGACATGGAGGATTTCTTCCTGGTGGAACCCTGCCTTTTAGCCTTTAGATTTTTGTCGTTGTTACAGATGCAGATCAGGTCCTCTGGTTGGCTGAGAAATTTTAACTCCTCCCCTCCCCAAACAGTCTAACACAGCAGCTTCAGTACAGCCTTTTGAAAGTGGCCTTGCAGAAGGTATACACATCAGCCGCCAGCTAGACCTGAAAGAATACGTTTCTAATGGATGTTGGCATTAAAACCTCTGAGCAGTCACATCCACAGAGGAATACATGAGAAATACTAGGAATACAGAAAAGAACTGTTCTAATCTTGTTTTTTCAACAGTGAACTACACACCAAAACGTATGGAAACCACTTCATTGATGAGTAAAATCCTTGGGAAGTATCAGTTCTGAAAAAGACGCCAAAGGAAAAAACCAACCAACAAACAAAAGGCAACACAAACCAGAACAGAAATAACCTTCCCATTTCGTTCAAGAACCTAGTTCAATGAGCTTATTGGATTAAAACATTTTGACATTTGACTCATCTACACCTACAAAGCTAACAACTCCTTTCATCTCCAATCGTTAAGCCTACTTGTAGAGTCTCTATTATAAAGAAAAAAAATAGCCTATATTAGAAAGAGTACACACAGCTTATGTTAATTTCTAGACAGAAGTGTGCTGGAATCAACGAACTTCATACAATTACTTCTTCTGCTTGTCATCTGGAAGCTCACACAACATTTGACAATTAAACCCCAATGCTCTCCTGTAAAGTGTAGCTGATCCATTTTATTACCATCAAATCCTACCAAAACTCAGAACATCTCGCACAAAACAGATGCAAGGGGCAATCATGGACGCAAAGTGAAAAATTCTTCAAGATAATGGTAACACAGAAAGTATAACCATGAATGGCCAGTGGTTATTTTAAAAATACATACATATTAGCAATTGTTAATATTTCAAATCAAGAGAGGGCTTTACTGTCAACCAGACTCACCCATTAAGTGAATGTACAATGCTATTCTATTCTACCAAGTCACTAAACGTGCCCCCTTAGGGCTTCATGGTTAGTCCTTCAATTATATACTTCAAAAGAAGTGCACATGTGAAACAGCAGGATATTCCACAACTTTTCACTCAGCAGATCTAAAACCCTGAGCTGTTTTTCCTTCTCATGCATCACCACCAGGAATGATGCAAGGCCTCCCTGTGGGCACACAGCGACTTCAGTAAAACTGCTGCAGAGCACTGCCTACCACGGGGAAAAGAGAAACAAAACAAAAAATCCTTCTGGTTTATTCTGACTCCTGTAGAGACAACACGGTTAACATTGGTTAAAAAGCAACAGCAGATAAAAACAAACAAATAAACCCCAGCAGAGACCGTTTTAACTACAAGCAAAAAAACGTTGAGTAAGAACAGCCTGTTCTTACACCACCAGCCAGGTAGCCTGTTAAAAAGAGTCAGGCAAAGGGGAAATAGTTTATGTAGTGCTAGAGGGAGGGAGAGAAGAAGGAAGAGAGATAAAACTGTTAATTTACTGAAAAAATTTACTTGAATCACCATACACCCAGGAGATCAGCAACACAAACTGAAGGTACATTACATGGGATAAAATAATGTGTGTGAGTACTATATAATAATTTCTAAAAGTAAGAAAACAGACAAACAGCTCTTAGGGACAAGCAGAGAGACAAAAGTCCTTGAGAGTTTAAAAAATATTATTTAATTTCCTAATTTCGTATTCACTGAGAACAGTTTCTCAGCCACTATTCTCCATCTTAATACTCCTGTTGGAATTATTCTGCTATATAAACCATGTTTGCAATATCTTATAAAACTACAGGTTTTATAATTGTAATTTCATTCTTTGATTTTTAAGAAGCAATCAAACCATTCCTATAAAAACATTCCTCAGTTGAGACACTGAACTGCAACATTCATTCTTGTTGGCATATGCATCTGTCGATCTCGGGAGACAGTGGAAGCAAAGCAAGCTTTCCCCTCAGTCCTGAGGAAACGAACTATGCTAGTTAGTATGTTTTTAAGCTAATGAAGACAGTGTGAAAAATGCACCTAGAGATAAAATAATGGCAAATGCAAGATCAAAGAGACATGAATGGCCAACAAGAAGAAAGAAACCTTATTTCCAGTTACTTTGGAAACATAAATGTACTTTATTTACTGAATCTTTACTCAATTAACGTGAACATGGAATAACTAACAAAAGCGTTTTGTTTGAATTAATTGTATGGATAAAATGTGGAGTTCAGTTGCTGCAGGTGACTAACATAACTTGTTCTATCCTAAACCAAACCTCAGCTCCTACGTCTTTTGTTACTTGCACAGGCAAGTGAGAAAAC